TATATTCTAGTGTTACAAGATGTCCACCATTTTAGCAAAGACAAATTACATACAAAAGCCTATAGGAAAGGAGAGTTAATATTTGGAGGGGGTGAGGAGAAGATGCAGATGGAATTCATTTCAGACCTGATGGATATCCAGAGCAGAGGCTCAGAGATGGCACACAGAATGTCATTTTCAAAGACCACCTGACAGACCAATCTGACCAGAACAGAGTTTTTCAAGGAGTCATATGAAATAAGCTGGGAAACGTATTATGTGGATTGTGGAAGGCTTTAAATGCCAGGCTGAGAGGGTTGTATTTTTATCTTGCAGGCAGTGGGGAGTCATTTAGCATATTATATTGTTCAAAAACTTCAATAGTGTAGGATTTATGAATTAAGGAATTGCTGTGATACACAATTCATTTTATTGAATGTTCAGGCCTTTTGGACTCTGTTTTAGTGGTTGTGCCCACTGTTTAATTTATTGCGGTATTTTTCAGTTTGTTCATTTAAGGTTACACATACTATTATTGTTTCTGTGTTTTCTTTCTTCTCTTCATCCCAGATCAACCTATTTCTCTCTGAATGCCAGGAATTTCTACAAAGTTCTAGGAAATAGGATCTGGACAACTTAGGAAAGTTGTAGGTTATCTTGATACAGAATAATGAGAAATGGAGTTGATGGAAGCTGAATGACTTTTCACATATTTATCTTCCATTCCATTCCATTAAGGTATTGTTTTTCCTTTAGACTCTAAATCTTGCTGTTCTGGATTTATTTTTGTCAAAGAATTATTAAAGTTGGAAGGAAACTTTGAGTTTAAGTAGTCTGACTTTATTTTACAAATAAGGAAACTGAGGACCAGAGAGATTACATGATTTGCCCAAGGTCACACAAGTTAATAAATGGCAGAGCAGGGATTTGAACTCAGGTCCTAGAACTCCAAGTACAGCACTCTTCCCACTGTACCTTGCTGCTTCATATTCAAAATACATAAATTAATTTTATAGGTAACTTTGCAATGCATCTATTTCATAAGGACTTATTTCAAATATTTAAATGAGATCCTTGTAAGCATTCCAGTATTCATTCTAAGACATTGTCAAATTTAATTATTCTTTTAGTCTTCTAATATGAAACTGCTATGGACAAAATCTGTATGCTACTTATAGAACTTGCTCACTGACAAGGGATTTAGTCATTAGTGAAGCCTCTAAATGCTGGAGTTTTTAACCAGGATTTCCCAGAAATCCACAGGTCAGTTGGTTAATGGGAAAGGTTGGATTATGGCACAGGGCATTCCAACATTTGCCCATTACTAACATATCAAGAGTGGGCCCTATGGTACAATGAGGAAGGCTCTTGAATCTGAGGACCTGGGTTTGAAATTCACCTGGCATGTTTACTGCCTATGTGACCTTAGACAAATCTCCTAACTTCCCTGAGCTTCAGTTTTCTCATCTGTAAAATGTGGAGGTTGGATTGGGTGACCTCTGAGTTCTAGTTCTAGAGCTAAGATCCTATGAAGTCACTTAACATCCTCAGGCTTACATTTCCTTATCTAGAGCAGCTGGGCAAGCTAGATGTCTCTGATGTCCCTTTTGGTTCTGGAGCTACAAAGCTGTGATTAAGTGATGAGTATTAGGAGGGAAAACATCACCTTGTAATTAGATTAAAAACTTTTAAAGCTCCCCTCCTCCCTATATTCCACGATCTATCTGATCTCCAATAAGATTGGTGACTAAGCTATTCTGCCTTTTAACAAGAGTATTGTAAAAACTTCGTGCCTACATTTTATTCAGCCAGCTACTGATGTTCTGCATTCCCATACTTTGCTTCTCCTAACCTGAATTCTGCACTCCTCTTCTCACTAAATTATTTTTTTAACTATTTATTTATTTAGTGACCTATAGCTTATATCTTTTGGGAATTATTTAAAATAATTCTTAGTAGTTAAGCTATATTCATGCAGTAAGGACTGTGTTTAATCAAAACTACATTTCTCTGCTCTGCACAAAGAGGGTGCTTAACAAAGTTAGTTAATGAAATATAAACCGTTCATGTGTTAAATGCAAGTTTTATAGGAGTCTATTAAAAATGGACTTCAAAAGTATACCTCTATCAGGGGGCTATATAGACTAAAAAACTCTGGTGATAGTCCTTAATTCACCAGTGCCTTCACAGAGAGCATAAAAACTGGTTGGGGATTTAGACACATTAGCTAATAGTATGGAACACTGATTACTCTTAATGAGTTCAATTTTCCAGATTCTGACAGAATAAGCAGCAGTGGTGTAGAGAAAAGAACATTGAACTGAAAGTCCGTGGATGTGGGTTCAAGTTTCTATTCTGTCAGCTAGTGGGGGAAGCTTGGAAAAGTTGCTTAATTTCACTGTGCCTCACTACAGAATTTTAAAGTCCCCTGAAGCTCTAACATTTTCCTATTATTAACATGGTAATCAGGTCTAACAGTGTTTTTTTAAACCTCTTTAAGAGTTTATCGGCTAATTGAAAATAGTACACTTAAAGTACCTGCACATATCTAGTCCAAGCCAAAGTCAAACCACATTTGAAGAACTGTTGGCCTCTTGTAAAGCTTTCCAGACATGTCCCTAATTGGCATAGGTGGCACACAACCATTCATTTAGAGATTAATTACCTTGTGACATTAAATGCCTTGTGAGATGCTTCTTGTTTCAGACTATATTACACTGTGATTTAATTTTCACTTGTGTTATCATTCAGCAACAGTACTGTAGATGTTTGAGGGTAGATCAATATACTTTTAAACAAAATTCTCTTGGGGCCTAGTAGGGTGTCTTAAAAATAACAGGGTACTCAAAATCCTATTGTTGATCTTATTTTTCGAGAGAAAAGAAAAAGAAAAAGACTTCAGGAACCGTGGCCTGCTAGGTACCAGGGAGGAGATCTAAGGGAAGGTTTACATGACTATGGCTGTATTTGTAAGAGAACTTTGAACCAATTTTAGAAGTACCATGCAGAACCCAGTCACTTGGGAATGGATATGAAAACTGCAGGAATGAATGCACAAACACTGCCAGATATACAAGAGTTCGCATAACTGAAGTTGGATTCATGACTATGAGAAATGTGCCACTCTGGACTGTCCCTAGCAACTTCACCCTTCACTAAGAGACTGCAGAGCTTGGTAAACTGCCCTTCAGGGCTCGATTCAGAAGGCATGGAACTAGATGTCACCACTAACACTGCAAGGGAGGAGAAACCCATACGGGCTCCTGTGACTCTTGTGCATCCATGTGGACGCAATGACACCTGCTTCGCTCGCAGCAGCCAAGACCAACTAAATAAGAGTGTATTTATTGTTCCCTTTGGGAACTGTGAAAACCTCCGTCGGCACCCCGAGAGGAGGAGGAAACACAGCAGTCTAGGGCTGGGAACAAAGCTCCTCCCAGAGCAGCTGTTGCCGCCGCCTGCGGGTTCCTTTCACTTTCTCACGGCCAAGTCACCCTGGAGCGCCGCTGCCGCCCCGGCCACTGCCTCTGTAGCTGCTGCACCGGAGAACTCCACCCCACACGGCATTGCTGCGAGCCTCCACGTTCGGCCCCTCCCACTGGCCCGGGCCCCCGCCCTCCCTCGACATTCCCACCTTCCAATTGGCCGACGCGGACGACTGCTTTAGTTCGCCTCCTCCATTGGGGGGGGCACACTGTCCGTCGTCCGCTCGCCCTCCACCCTCCTGTAGAGCCACTTTCTTATTGGAGGAAGTGGGGTGGGGAGGGGGGACAGAGAGAGGGGCGGGCTAACAGCGCCGGTCCAGCCGCCGTCTGTCAATCGCGGAAGCCGGCGCTGGGAGGAGGGAGAGGGTGCCGGGAGGAGGGGGGGTGGGGGGGGTCGGATTGGGGAGGAGGGGGGGAAACATCTGGCCGGCGCCGCCGCGTGCGTGCGTGTGCGTCCTCCCACCCCCTCCCTCCCCCGTCCCCCCGCCCGCGCTCCCCTCCCCCTCCCCCTCTCCAGCCCCCTTCCCCCCTCCCTCTCCGTTCCCTCCCCCTCCCTTCCCCCACCCCCCCACCCCCGCCCGGCGCTGCGCTCGCTGTGTCTCTGGCTGGCTGCGGCCGCCGCTGGGCTGCTGCCATGGGGAGCCGTTGAGAGTGGGGCCCTCTTCGCTCCGCCGCGCTCCTCCGGCTGCCAACGGGGGCGGGAGTGAAGGGGGAAGGGGGGGAGCGGGCGACGGAGCCGGGGCTGGGGGGGTGGGGGGGGGACGGGAGGGAGGGGGGCCGGAGGAGGAGGAGGAGGAAGCCCACCAAGTCCGGGAGCGGCGGCAGCGAGGAGGAGGAGGAGGAGGACGCGGACGCGGCGGCGGCGGCGGCGGGGACGCGGTGACTTAGGGCCGCTCCAGGGTGTGAGTCCCGGTTACAGCACGTTTCCCCCTGACCCCGGCCCCCCTCCGGCCCCCTCCCCCACCGCCCGGCCCGGGGTCAGGGAGTGGAGGGCGGAACCGGGGCAGGACGGGGCGGGGGGAGGGCGCACCAGCTGTTCCAGCCCCAGCCCCGGGAGCCGGGGGGCCGGGAGAGAGTGAGCCCGAGGTGAGGGAGGAGGGGCCGGGCCGGGGGGCGCGGGAGCGGGAGGGTCTCGTCTCGGAGGAGCGGAGTTAGTTTGTGCGGTTCGGGCTGTTGGAGCTCTGCGCCGGGGGGCGGTGCAGCTGCGGGGAGGCCCCCGGGGCCGGCGGGGCGCCCTGGGGGCCGCTGCAGCTGCGGGGCGCCCCCCCCGGGGGTGCGGTGCGGGGGCTCGCCTCGCCTCTGCTCGCCTCGCCTCTCGGGGCCGGTGCAGCTGCGGCGGAGGGGCAGGGGGCCGGTGCAGCTGCAGAGCCTCCGGGGGTGGGTGGCAGGGGGGTGATGGAAGTAGCGGGGGGAGGCTGGGGAGCCGATGCAGCTGCAGCGGCGCCCGGGACGGACGAGGTTCCTCCGGGGACCCGTGCAGCTGCAGTGGTGCCCGGGCGGGGGGGAGGGGGGCTCTGGGTGCTGGTGCAGTTGCGGAGAGGCCCCGGGGGCCCGTCTAGTGGGGCGTTGGGGAAGCGCTAGCAACCACTCTGCTCCCTTTGGCTTCTTCTTGCGACTTTTCTTTTGTTGTTGCTGTGACCCGGGTCTGTTTTCTTGTCTGCTGTTGAAGGTGTTTTCTTGCTGGACTGGCAGTGAGTCCAATTCTTTCCCTCTGGTGTAACACCCCCCTCCCCCTTTTAAATTTTCTGCCCAATATGTTTTACATAGAGTATAATACATAGAGATTCGCATCTTTCTCTTCTTCCTCGGACCCCCCTCCCCAACCCTCTTTAAAAACGAAAAGTAAAACCTCCAACAACCTCTCTGGACCAGCAGCAGTGAGAGTTAGCGGGGTCGATTTGTGGAGTAAGGAGTCACCAACTCATTTCGGTGCTTGGGACTCATTAAACTGTCACTTACCCGACCCCACTGAGTAAATGGGGTGATTAATGCCTGATCACTTGGAGCTGGGAGAGGACATTTGTGAAGTGGCAAAGTTGAAAAGGAGCGTATCCCTTAGACTACTAAGTCTAATTGACTTAAGTAATAAACTCATTGTTAGGAAAAGTTAGTTTTTGAGGGGTGGAGGGAAGAGAGAACTGTTGACTTTGCCATTCATTTAACATTCCTCACTTTTTTCCTAACGAGGATGCAGTTCATTAACATTTAAGCTGGGGCATTTACAGTTGAGCTATAGGCCATGTTTCTCTCCCTGCCCTCCCCAACCCCCCCTTCACACCTCGCCCTTCCAAAGGTCTTTGGGGATGAATCTGACATTCACAGATGTCAGTAGCACCATGCACAGCACCATTCTGTCCAGCTGAGGTTACCCTTCTATTTCATCAGCCATTAAAAAACCCACAGACCAGGTAAAAACTTTCTAAACTAACTGGACTTCTGTATATGACAGACCTCTTTATTATGATCAGCAAAATTACAGCATGACCCCCCAAAAAATGTTGTGGGAAACAGATCAAGGGGAAGACAAGGTTCTGCTTTTCTGGCCAGAAAGTCAGATCTGATATGCAGGTGCAATGGCCATTTTAATTCTCTGTTAACAGATCGTATCCAGTTTATTAGTTTGTGTCACTGAATGGAATCACTTTTCAGCATTTTTAGAAAAGTACACTTTCAGCTTGTTAGTATTTTGAATTTGAATTGATATTGATTGTGACAGTATGAGAAATTATACTTAGAAGGTAGTTGGAGATAAGTCGTTAAGTATGAGTGGAATAATTGTGGTGAACCAGGCTGAAGTAATAGTTTCCAATAAGTCTCCCAACATTCCTGTGACATGTATATTATTATCTCAGCAGAAAAACAAATGGAAGTCCTATGCTAACATTAAAATGGGAATATAGATTTAGAGTCAAATGGGTTTGATTTAGAAATATCCCCAAGGAAGCTGCCTTTGAAATGAAACCTCTGAGTTGAATAAAAGTGAATCTGTGGATTTCCTGAATAGCACTGTGGCTTGAGTATCCTGTCAATATATAAGCCAGTCCACCAACTTAAGACACAAGTGTTGCTATTCCATAAATACAGTAGAGCTCCATATGTTTAGTTTTTCAATTTCTTCTGTTAGAAAGTTTGGGGGAAAAAAGGAGACTTTGAAGTATTTTGTTTATACTAACAGAAGAGAAAAGTTCTCCTAAGAAAAAGCTGGTGGCAGGAGTGTAGAGGAGTAGCATATGGCATTAAAAGGAGCACAGCTGGAGGTAGCATTTCCATCTGAACATGATGTCAGAGCAGCTGACAGCCTGCCATCCCTCAGCCTTTTATTCTAACACACAGACAGGGAGTTAGTGTGTGCAGATCTGTGTGTGGAGAAGGTATCTCATTCCTCTCTAACATCATCTCCACTTTGCATCTGTCTCTCTTAGTCTGCTTTTTTTCCACCGATCTAACAGACCTGGAGCCAGCAAGACTCAGAGGAAAGGACTTAATCAGGTTTATGTGTACTAAAGGTAGGAGTAGCAATAGATTAGATTCAGCATATTTCTGTTTTGGTGTTTTGTTTATTTAATTTGGAAAAATCACATTACTTTTCTAACCAAGTTTAGGGATTATATATGAAATTGAGTATTAAATGAACATCTTGCTGTAGTCGAAAGGCTTGGGCTGCAGCATTATCTGTCCCTTTACACTTGAATCAATAACTTTTAAAAATACATACAGGTATTGCAAATTTTGAAATGTAAGTAGGGCTTTGAAATATATTGTTTATGGAGCTCACTTTAAGTTAAATTGCTTTATTTTTTCACTGACATTTTAGCTCCCTTTTGCTTTGAGGAATATTAAATAGCAAAGTGTATGGAATCAAGTATTCAAACTTTTTATGGAAGAATTGTTGTAGTTGAGAAACTAAATTGATTGTATAATGAATTATACTCTTAACACTTTTACACTCTTAAACTTTATTCTTAAAGGTTCAGCAGCACTACTACTGAAGCATACAGCTGTAGTGCTTTTGAAACAGAGCAGTTGTTTTTGTTTTTTAAGCAAAAAAACTTTTTGTCCCCAGGAGAAAATAGCTTGACTGGTTTCCTCTTTTCTCTTTCAGATATATATTTAAGAGATCTTTTATTTCAGCATAACAATAATTATTTGAAGGAGTTTTTGTGTTAGCGACTAATTTAGAACTTGTAGATTTGAGCTGCCTGAATTGGCCAGACAGCTGTAATCGCACTCCTCTATTCTTAATCTCTTTATCTGGGCAGCAGCTGCCATATGGCCACAGTCAGCTGGATCAGATGTTTATAAGCTTCCTTCTTCGTCCCTCTCTGTCCTCTCAGCCTCCTAATTTGATCACAGCTACCTTGTGAGCTGCCCTCCAATCTTTATTTTTAGCCCTCTTAAGGATTAGGATTGATGTTGGCTGTGGGGCACTTAAAGTGATTGTATTGTAAATCTTCTTGGGTTATTCCAGCAGTGGTATTTTGCAGTATATATTTAGGGGTTGAATGGAAGTTTTAATATATCTTGGGTAAAGTGGGGGGGGGGCATGGAATACGGAAAGTAATTTGGTATAGTATTAATGTGCTCTAGTCCCCAAGATGCACATTCTAAGATGAATGGCATAGAACTTTGCATCTGGTCAGAGGAAAGGGGAAGTAGAACTTGCTTGCTTGCCTATTTATTTATTTATTTGTAGAGGCATTACATATTGCAGTTGAATTTTGACCCTTTGTACATCCTTGCCTCTCTTCCACCCCCTCCTTTCTCCCTCCCTCCCAGAAAACAATGGGAAACAATGCATTTTTGAAAGAATGGAAGTTGAAGGGGGGTAGGGAGGAGATGAAATATATCAAGTCATGTTGAAACAAAACATTTTCTTCTGGTTATGGTAATACAGACCTAGGCAACAGAATAGTTTGTCTCCATTTCTAGAAGTTCATTTTCTCTATGTGTTTAACTTGCAATCATTTTTATCTTAATTGAAAGTGATATGTCTTTACTTCATAGTTGGAATGAATTTCAGTGTAGAAGTTATTTTGCTTTTGCAGCTAATGAAAGTTCAGTTGAGAATTTTTAGAATTTAAAATCCTTCTGATTTCTGAGAAACCAGAAGTATAATTTGTACAAAGAAATGCAGTCATTTTTCTTTCAATTCACTTCTAAAATCTTTGGATTTGTTCATAGTAAAAATGATCTTTTCCATCTGTTAGTGTAGTCCCTTCTGATCTCATACATGTGTGCTATACCTGCAAATCTTAAGGTATTAACATCTGTTTTCATACACTAGGCTTTTGTTGTTATAACACTCTGACTTTAAAAGTAAATTGTTTGCTAATTTCTGAACTAATTATGCTATTTATTTATTTTTTCTTGTTTCAGTGAGAATTGTCCTTTAAACTTAATGTGTGTGCTGGAGCTATTGTGTATAGTTTTAAGTGCAATAATGGAAGCATCAAAAGTAATAAAATAAAAAGGGTGGTTGAACAAGTTTCCTTAATTTTAATCAGCATTAGTTAGGCTGTTCTTTGTTCATTGGCATAAGGCTTTGTCTTAGAAATTAAAGCCATTTTGGATGTTTTATAGGAAATAATTTGAGTAAAGTTAATTAAATTTCTCCTGAAAGTGATTTAAATTCTAATATTCTCAAGAAGCGATTACAGTTAAGCATTTTCAAACTTGACTAGAAGTATGGTGGAAGCTAGTAAGATAATTTTTGTGAAATAGAAAAAGTTGGGAAACTACATTTTCTTTTCACATCTGCAGTTTGGTATAGTGAGTTGGTAGTCCTTGGGTCGTATGCCTGATTAAAACTCAAAGAAGCGTATAATGACAGCCAAAGTTTACTTCCTTTTTTTTTTAAAAAGTGTGAGGGCTATGGTATTAAAAAGTTGTTTCCTCCCCAACATTAATAAGGAATTTTTCTGTTTGTAGGTTATGAAGACAGTATGGAGTTTCCAGACCATAGTAGACATTTGCTACAATGTCTGAGTGAGCAGAGACATCAGGGTTTTCTTTGTGATTGCACTGTTCTGGTAGGAGATGCCCAGTTCCGAGCGCACCGAGCTGTACTGGCTTCATGCAGCATGTATTTCCACCTCTTTTACAAGGACCAGCTGGACAAAAGAGACATTGTTCATCTGAACAGCGACATTGTTACAGCCCCAGCTTTCGCTCTCCTGCTTGAATTCATGTATGAAGGGAAACTCCAGTTCAAAGACTTGCCCATTGAAGACGTGCTAGCAGCTGCCAGTTATCTCCACATGTATGACATTGTCAAAGTCTGCAAAAAGAAGCTGAAAGAGAAAGCCACCACGGAGGCGGACAGTACCAAAAAGGAAGAAGATGCTTCAAGTTGTTCGGACAAAGTGGAGAGCCTCTCTGATGGCAGTAGCCACATGGCAGGCGATTTGCCCAGTGATGAAGATGAAGGAGAAGATGAAAAATTGAACATCTTGCCCAGCAAAAGGGACTTGGCGTCTGAGCCTGGGAACATGTGGATGAGGTTGCCCTCAGACTCAGCAGGCATTCCCCAGACTGGCGGAGAAGCAGATACACACGCAACAGCAGCTGGAAAAACAGTAGCCAGCCCCTGCAGCTCTACAGAGTCTTTGTCCCAGAGGTCTGTCACCTCCGTGAGGGATTCAGCAGATGTTGACTGTGTGCTGGACCTGTCTGTCAAGTCCAGCCTTTCAGGAGTTGAAAATCTGAACAGCTCTTATTTCTCTTCACAGGACGTGCTGAGAAACAACCTGGTGCAGGTGAAGGTGGAGAAAGAGGCTTCCTGTGATGAGAGTGATGTTGGCACTAATGACTATGACATGGAACATAGCACTGTGAAAGAAAGTGTGAGCACTAATAACAGGGTACAGTATGAGCCGGCCCATCTGGCTCCTATGAGGGAAGACTCGGTCTTGAGGGAGCTAGATCGGGAGGACAAAGCAAGTGACGATGACATGATGACTCCAGAGAATGAGAGAGTCCAGGTGGAAGGGAACATGGACAGCAGTTTACTCCCTTATGTCTCAAACATACTCAGTCCAGCTGGCCAAATATTCATGTGCCCTCTCTGCAACAAGGTCTTTCCCAGTCCCCATATTCTGCAAATTCATTTAAGCACGCACTTTCGAGAGCAGGATGGGATCCGCAGCAAGCCTGCTACTGATGTCAATGTCCCAACATGCTCCTTGTGTGGTAAGACTTTTTCTTGCATGTACACCCTGAAACGCCACGAGAGGACTCATTCAGGGGAAAAGCCCTACACTTGTACCCAGTGTGGGAAGAGCTTCCAGTACTCCCACAACCTGAGCCGCCATGCTGTGGTTCACACACGGGAGAAGCCACATGCCTGTAAGTGGTGTGAACGTAGGTTCACACAGTCTGGAGACCTTTACAGACATATTCGGAAGTTTCACTGTGAGTTGGTGAACTCCTTGTCTGTTAAAAGTGAAGCACTGAGCTTACCTACTGTCAGAGACTGGACCTTAGAAGATAGCTCTCAAGAACTTTGGAAATAATTTTATATATATATAAATAATATATATATATACATACACACACACACACACATACACACACACACACACACACACACACACACACATATATATATATATATATATATATATATATATATATATATATATATAAATCTATATATAGTTGTGGTACGGTCTAAAAGCAGTCTTGTTTCCTTGAACTAAAAAGTTGGAATATTAACTTGTTTTTGCACTTTAGGATAGCATGAAAAATTTCACTAATTTAGCATTCTGATAAGAAAAACTTTAGAGTAAGTCAGAAATAGAGAGGTGTTTTTCTTTTGTGGAGTAGGGAAAGTAAGCCAGTATATACTTTTAAAAAACAAATCCTTATATCACAAAAATGCTTACACATGGTTTTATTTCTTCAACATTGCAATTGTGTTTTAAGCTCTGCAATTTTTTTTTTATGATTTTTAAATGCTGTAGAAATTCCCTCCAGTTTTATTAGCCTCTTTACACTTATAAAATTGCATGAATCTTTTCTGGCTGTTGGAAACCTGAATGCTTTTAGACCCAAATGGAAAATTTCTGAAATGCTGGATTATCTATTTTTAAACAAGCAGTTGACTTAAACTTTCTGTGGCAACTTCTGGTTTTCTGACAGTTCCCAATGAGAAAAATTCTGAAAGTACACTGGGATCACTGGGACTCTGTCTTTTGTGAAGGTTTGCTTGGGATGAAAAAAGGATATTGCAGCTTCAGCAGTGTTGAACTGTGTGTTTAAAAATGTGAATTACTGTTATTGTATACTGTAATTGATTACATGGGCTGGGGGGGGGTGTCAAAGAACTTGACAGGTTGTGTTGATGCTCATAGTTGAGTCTTGAAAAGTAAATATTAACGCTACAGAAATGCATGAGTTTCAATATATTTTTGTCTTTGTTTGCATTGTATAACTTTAACGAGTGAGTTTAAAATTATTTAATTTCCTTAGGAAAATAGCACCATTTGAAAAAACTGGTGTTATGAAGAACATAAATGCACTGTTTTTATTTTATTTTATATAATTTAAATCTACTTTCCCACTGTCTTTAAGTTGAAGCTGTTAAGTTGAATAAAAATTAAGCTACAAATTGATAAGTTAGCTACATAACAAGGAAAATATAAATGTTTACAAATGGCTTAAAGATTTGCATGTGCAGTGTGCATTTATAACAAACTTCTAATTGCACAGAACCCATGCCAGCTCAAAGTTTAGGTATCTACATTTACCCAGTTGAGCATTTTTAGAATTACTACTGCACAAATTGACAATAGGTCATTCTTTTTCTTTTCTCTCTCTTTCTCTCTCTCTCTCTCTTTCTGTCTCTTTTTTTTGCTCACCCTTTCTCCTTTTCTTCTTCCTCCCCTCCCCACCTCCCTAACCCTTCCCTCCCATGAAAAGATTCTTTGGACTGAAAAAGCCCCAGGCTGAAAGGACTGGGAAGCCTTGATTGACAAGGGGAGGGGGGTGAGCAGACTATGTGTATCCAAGCAGCCGAGGCTGCAGCCCGACGTGTGGTTTTCATGACCAACACACAGGGTGAACGCATTTTGCACAGTGTTTGTTTTCCTGTCTTGCACTTACAAATAAGGTCTATGGGAGTAGCATGGAAAACGTTTGCTGTTTTTCCCTTTTTTTCCCCTTTGCTTTTGTTTAAAATTTGATCGCCTTAACTACTGTAAACATAGCCTATTTTTGTGCTTAAGATACTGAATGGAAAACTCCATTGTGTGTTGCTGGACTGTTTTGGAAATATTTGGTCAAATGTGTGTTAATTTGGCTGTAATGGCATTTAAAGCAAACAAAAAAAAGCTGTGAAAATGGCCTTGGAGCATTATCTTTAGTTACTTGAAGAGTTTCTAGTTTTTTTTAAAAATACAGTTTATGTTAAGATACATTTTTATTAATTTAGAGAAGACAATCAATGTCTGTGAGAAAACGGACTTTCTTTTGGATTTTTTTTTTGTGGTCATTGTGAGTGATTGCTTTTTCCTCTTATTAGTTTCACATTCTTCCTTTGTTCTAAAACTTAGACTGACATCTAGCTTTGACAATCATAGTACGTTTTATTTTCCTGAGGGGGGAATAACTTATGATGCTGTTTAGTTTTGTACTCTTGGTGTGTTGGTGAATTTTTAAACTGTGCTAACTGCAATAAATTATATGACCTGAGAAGCAGATTCCTGGTGTGTGTTTTTTAAAAGTTTGATTATATATCTCATAAATGGTAATTTCATATTCTATGAAGTACATCATTATATGTTTTATAGTTTCTATCAACAGTTTATGAAATAATTTGATTAAGAAACATTCATTTGGAAGAGATCCTAAGTTTTTTCATCCATCCATTTAAGTTACTAAATGCACAGATTAAAAAAGATTTGTGCATAAAATACCCATCCTCTAGGTATCAAATGTTGAGGTTATTGGGAACTTATGCTTCTTTTAAACACCAAGTGACATCATAAGATTTTCAGGATATTTTGTGCCACATTGCCAATCCATACATTATAAGTCGCTTTTCATGTATAATTTTCCCCTAAAGAGATTGGTCAGATCTATTCTCTTGTGTTCTAGTTTTAGTGGAAAATTGAAGGAGACGGGATGTCTTAATTTGCAGGACTGCTTGGCTAATGACTGGAATTCTAGGCAATAGAATAAGCAGGCATTCAGAATGTTGTTGATCAGCTGTATACATGCATCCTTTTTTGTTGTTGAGAGGAGAGAACTCAAGATATTCAAGTTTTAATTCTCATTTTTAAAAATTAATAAATATTTCTCACAAAAATACATATTGCTGAATCTGAACCTAGTCAAAATATTCTAAATATTGCTTCTCTGAATGATGCTTTCAGACTTATCTTGCTGGGATATTTAGTTTGAGAAACTTAACGCTGGTTGATAAGTTAATAGAAAATCTAAAGCTTTCATAATGATGTTATCAAAAACACTTTACTATCATAAAAGAGTAAGTTATATCCACTGGCTGTTTTCATTTCTTTAACTAAAACTAGTTTTTGAAATGTATAGAAGTTAAACGCCATTTGAGTATTGCTACCAGTACTTAAAAAAAACCGAACAACCTTCACTTAGCTTGGTTGATGGAAATTATTTCTTTGTTTGAATTCTAAAGATATTAATTTTGATTTTAAAAAATAATAATAAACTCAAAGGAAGTATGCAAGGTTACTGATCTTGAAAATCAGTTCAGCAGTGGTTCTTAAGTTCAATAGTGGTCAAAATAGGAGACTTCTTTGGAGCGCATGCTCTGTTCATAATATACAACTTGGAATAACTTTTATTTCCTTCTCAGCTTGTTGACATAGTTGTATTGCATGCTACTCATATTTGACTGTAACCAGGCAAACATTGTTTCACATGAAAGGGAAATGTACCATTGAACCTTTCCAAACAGTGAATTTTTTGCGTAGCTATTAACCTTTCATAAAGCCTTCTATTTTAAGTTTCAATAAAGAATCCTTGCATTGAACATTAAAGAACTCCAAAGCCTTGTCGGGTTACCTGCTCCTTTACCTTTCCCAGCTGAGTATCAAGATGACCCTGGTTGTTAATCAGGAATTAGTAGGAATATTCTTGTCAAATTAATGGCATTTAAAATACACTGTATTAAGGTTATCCACCACGTCAACAATTTAGCATCACTTTTGATTCCATTGTCAGCATCTGTATTTTTAAAAGAAATGGCTTGGGTGTTTTATGCCATTCAGGATTCAGCATTTAAGAGATTCATAGGACATATTAAAAACTTTTACAAAATTGATCTTTTGCAAAAGCATACATACAGCAAAAACAATTTTATATAAAGCAAGGAGGATGAAGCATTTAAAATGAATTTTTAAATTGCTAAAATAAATAGGCACAAAATTTGCCTTTCCTATGTTAAATAAAGGATCCGTTAATTTGTCATACATAATATTTGAGTTGAAACGAGGGAATAGTTGAATTATTTCTTAGGTAGGGATATCAATTTTTTAAAAATGTACTTCCTGCTTATTAACTGTTTATTTTAATTTATTTTAGACTTTCAGATGATCAGTGTATATGTTTCAAATAATCGGTGTGTATGGTTTAAACTACTCAGTGATACTAAACATTGTAGGGGATACAAAAGATGCTTTTTTCACCTGTGCAGGGAGCTGGATTAGTTGTCTTTTCAGTTAAGGATGCTACTTGGTGTATTAATATGTGTCTGGGCTTTCATGAATACTTGCAAAGAAGTCATCATTGGAGGGTAGATTTTAAAAATTAATTCATTACTTGATTTTTAAGTGACCAAAAGAGTTTTTGTTGAAGTATTTTGTTCTAAATGGCTATCAAAGAGAAGCTTTTTTTTTTCACATGGTGAGCTCAAAGCTTGTTAAAGCTGGCTACTATAAACTTACCTACAAATACTCAAACTGTAGAAACTTAACTAATAGATTAAATTTCAGCATTTCATCTTAAAATGTCAAATTTTCTAATCTTATACTTGATATTCCATTAAGACTTGAAAGGGAAACCATTTCTTGATTTTCATCTTAATTTTACACCTCCCTGTCTTATGATAAGCTCAAAGAATTTTAATTGTAATCAGAATTTTTAGATATTAATCCATCATGTCTATAGTTGTTTGATGTTTATTGCAATGCTGTAAATTCTTAAGAAAATACTTCATTATGTGACCATTTAAATATGAGAGCCCAGCGTTTTTATCCACTATCTCCTTTTCATCAAAATGCTAGTTATCAGCATTTTCAGAAATACTTTAATAAATTATTCTTGTATGACTTCATCATAGCTATGACCAAGTAAAATTACAAAAATAAATAAATTTGTCCTTAAAATTATTTTACTTATTATGTAATTAAGTATTTTTATATGAATAAACTACTGGTAAATCCATTTACAGGAATACCTTTGGAATGTACAAAAGTAAAGCTACTTACCACAATTGCAAATCAAAATACATGTGCAAAAAGAAATGCTTCTGGTTTATAGCCAGAATCTAGGACTTATTTTAATGACAGAAAATACAGCTAAATCTTTCAG